GACGGATGCTGGGGCTCCAGCCAATGTTCCTTCTAAGCTGTAGAGTCTTGTGAGCAAAAATTCTACTTTGTGAGCTACTAGCATTAAAGTTGTGAGCAAGCAATTTGGCTACTGCATAAATTAGTTTGCTCTGGAGCCATCCTTCCTGAGCTGAGACAAAAATGTGTGAGCCGGAGGCTAAAAAACTGTGAGCTAGCTCACACTAACTCAGCTTAGAGGGAACACTGGTTCCAGCTCCTCCTTTGGCGTGTGCGAATCACACATCTCTCCTGTTTGCTTTGGGATAGCAAGGGAAAACTGTTAAGTTGCTTGCTTAACAAAGAAGTCGGAGAGTGATTCAGCAAGAACACAACTCCAACACGGATCAACATCTGATAGCCAGAACAGAACAGTTCAGCTTTTACATTGCCGTTGTCCTGCTTTTAAACTCTCCCGGCTAATGTAGCCACACCCACTGTACAAATATCAACCAATACGGTTGTTCATATAAGGACCAATCACGGACGTCCCCGCTCAGGGAGCTTGCTGTAAAGTGATTGGCTAGGTGCTTCCTGGGCTAGCAATGCGATTGGATGGATTTGGATCCTAGCCCAGGACGAAGCTCAACATGGCAAGTCAATTAGATGGTTCACATACATCATGCATTCAGTGGCAGCTATTGAATACATTACAAAAACGTGGACCTTTGTAAGTTCAAGTGAGGAGATTCAAAAGAGGGGGTTGGCTTCACATGGTAGCCTGTGAGATGTGCGGGGTGGAGCTTGGGGAGGGAACTCAGCGGGGTTATAGTGCCATAGAGACCCTCCACCAAAGCAGCCATTTTCTTCGGGGGAACAGACCTCACTGGTCTGGAGGTCAATGCTAAACCTGGAAGATCTGCATGCCCCTAGCTGGAGGTTGGCAACTGTGTTAAGGCCCCCGTTATGGAAAGTCGTTAAGGAAAAAAGACCCTTTTAGGGTCGCTATCCCTCCATGTTTGCGGCCACAGTTTGATATCCCCTGGTCCTCGTCAAAAGCCCATGATGACCCACGGGTTTTAAGTATATTTAACAGGACGTTCTGGGTTCAAATCCCAACTTGGTTTTGCAGAAGAGGAGATTGGATTGATACCCAGCCCTTCACTACCGGAAGGAGTCTCAGAGCGGCTTACCATCTCCTTTCCCTTCCCCTCCCCACAACAGACAGACACCCTGGGAGGTAGGTGAAGCTGAGAGAGCTCTTTCCAGAACTGTTTGTGAGAGAATGGCTCTGAAACATCTTGTAAATGACCTAAGGTAACACCAGCAGCTGCCTGATCAGTTTGCTTCCTTTGAGAGCCAGTTTGGTGCAGTGGTTAATCTCTAATCTGGGAGAGCCGCGTTTGATTCCCCACTCCTCCACTTGCAGCTGCTGGATGACCTTGAGCAAGCCATAGTTTTGATAAGAGCTCTCCTTGAAAAAGAGCCGTTTCTGTTAGAGCTCTCTCAGCCCTGTTTACCTCACAGGGTGTCTGTTGTGGGGAGGGGAAGGGAAAGGAGTTTGTAAACCGCTCTGAGACTCCCTTGGGGAGTGAAGGGTGGGGTATAAATCCAATCTCCTCCTCTCCTCCTCTTCTTTTTCTTTTTCTGTAGTGGTTAAGTGTGCGTACTCTGATCTGGGAGAACCGGGTTTGATTCCCCACTCCTCCACTTGCAGCTGCTGGATGACCTTGGGCGAGCCGTAGTTCTGATAGCAGCTGTCCTTGAAAAAGAGCCCTTCCTGTCAAGAGCTCTCTCAGCCCCGCCTACCTCACAGGGTGTCTGTTGCGGGGAGGGGAAGGAGTTTGTAAGTCGCTCTGAGACTCCCTTGGGGAGTGGAGGGCGGGGGTATAAATCCAATCTCTTCTTAAAAAACAGTATTTTTATTGGCAGGTTTTCAGTGTACAAGAAATAGCAGAAGAGCCCATTTACATCAAGATTTGGCGGCTGAGCTTGGGGAAGGTGGGGTTTGGGGAAGGACAAGACCTCAGCAGGACGGAGTGCCAGACAGTCCACACAGTCCCCCCCCCCCCCCCAAAAAAGCTGCAGTTTTCTGAAAGGGAACTGTTCTCTATATTTCAACATGATCTAAGAATCTTTATTATTCATTGAGAACATTTTAAAATAATAAATCATAGAAATTAGTCCCCCCGGAGAAAAGGGCAGCTTTGGGAAGGCCTGAGGTTCCTCCCTTCTGGACCTCTTGAAATCAGTTGTGATCCAGGGAGATCTCCCGGCCCCACCTGGAGGTTGTTCGAGGGGTCTGTGGGGGGGGGACGCTCCAGGATTTGGGGCTGCACCAGAGTGAGCTTCCAAAAAAGAAGCGGGACTTGGGAGGGGCGGCCCGGATCCGCCGCCAGGGCAGCTGCAGGCAGGCGAGAACAGCTGCTCAAGAAGAGACTACAACCCCCAGCATGCCCCACGGCTCCTCGGAGTACCACCCCCTTCGCCTTCCCCGCGAACTACACCGCCCAGCAGGCTGCGCGGCGAGGCCTCCGTTTAGGTGGAGCCGGAGGCGGCGCGGTGCCTTTCGGGAGTTGTGGTGCGCAGTCGGTTCTGCCTTGTGGCGATGCGCGCCGGCGGAAGGGCCTGGCGGTGGGTGCAGCCGGTAGCGGGGCGGCGTCGGTGGGGCTCGGGGGCCGGAGGAGGAGGCGCGGCCATGGCGGAGGCCGGCGCCGCGATGGGGCAGAGGATGGTCTGGGTGGACCTGGAGGTGAGCAGGCGCCCGCCCGGGGACACGTGTGCAACCGAAGGGACTGACACGTGTACTGCCATCACCATGGGATGTGTACTGGGGGGGGGGAGGCTCATACTGGAGCCCAGGAGGCCCGCCTGCCTTGTGCGAATGATGTACGGGGAGGGACTCCACTAGGATTGCCAACCTCCCGGTGGGCCCGGGAGATCTCCCGGAATTAAAATTGCTCTCCAGAGGACAGAGATGACTCCCCTCCCCCGGAAGAAATGGCAGCTTTGGGAGGCAGACTCGATGGCGTCACTTCCCTGCTGAGGTCCCTCCCCTCCCCAGGCTCCACCCCAGATCTCCAGCCGTTTCACAGCCTGGAGTTGGTAACCCTACCCCCATCCCATAGTACACCATAGGAGCCTCGAGCACCATAGAAAGTGGGAAGGTGCCTCTGCTCCGTTAATCTTGTAAACCGCCCTGAGCCAGCTTGCGGGGAAGGCGGGGTATTAAATTAGGACTCATTGATTGTTGATTTTAAGAATGCCATTTTATATTGTTTTTAACTGTTGTCAATCGCCCAGAGCCTTGTGTACTCAGGGACTGGGCGATCCAGAAGTCTAATAATAATGACATAAAGCAAAGGAGATAAATCAATGAATCGGGTCTGGACCCAGAAGGCGCCTGCCTTGGCGTGGCCGGGAGGGGGGAGAAGTCGCAGCCCGTAATAGCATGGGGGAGGGCTGCCTCCAATGTTCCCTCTAAGCTTGTGGAGTCCTGTGAGTAGAAATTCCACTTCGTGAGCTACTGGCATTAGAATTGTGAGCAAGTTATTTGGCTACTGCATAAATCAGTTTGCTCTGGAGCCATTCTTCTTGAGCTAAGACAAAAAGTGTGAGCCGGAGGCTAAAAAACTGTGAGCCAGCTCGCACTAACTCAGCTTAGAGGGAACACTGACTGCCTCCACTGTAATGTTGTGGAGCTTGTGGTGAAGATGGATGCCGTAAGGTTGGCATTCCCCTGGAGCTGGAGACGGGGCTCTGGGGGGCGGAGCTGGAGACTTCTAGATGTGGGGGTCTTCAGCATTCATGCTTGCTGGGACTGGCCCAGGATGCGCTTTCTTTCCTACCCGGTGGAACAAAAAGATTCCTTGACCTGTTAAACGTTTGTTAATTTTCTGCCTTTGCTCCAGATGACGGGCTTGGACATTGAGAAAGACCAGATCATCGAGATGGCCTGCCTCATCACCGATTCCGACTTGAACGTCTTGGCTGAAGTAGGTGGCCTTGCAAATGGGTGCCCGCCAAGCGCCAACTCCCTCCCTCCCTCCTTCTTGGTGGTTCCTTGACGTGGAAGGTTGGCCTTCACACGCGGGGGGGGGGCGCACGTAGGCTAGTTTGAATGGTTTGCAAAACAGCTGGCTGGTTAAAAGCCCCTTCTGGCTATGCCAGCTCCAGATGTTTGCCGCCCGGGAAGTGACTTTGTGGGCTCAAACGCTGTTGCAGTGTGGCCCAGTACCCAATCAGGTGTTTTTTTAGCAATTCACTTTGTGGCTTGTAAGTAAGCGTGCAGATGTTTATCATTTGGGGCTCTTACATAGTTCCTGAATGAAAGTAATTCAGGTGGGGGTAGCCGTGTTGGTCGGAAGCAATAGAACAAAATTTGAGTCCGGCGGCACCTTTAAGACCAACAACGTTTTATTCTGGGTAGAAGCTTTCATGCGCGCGTGTGCGTGCATTTTTCAGCTAATTGTTCTTCAGATAATTCAGTAATTGTTGCATTCTGCTCGATGTGTTAATATTTAGACCACTTACCCATTTCATCGTTTGCAGGACAGAGAGTGGCCTTTCGGTAACCTGCTTGGAAATAGCCTGAAACCCTCGGCTAAACTTTTGAATAAAACTTTGTTGGTCTTAAACGTGCCGCTGGACTCAAACTTTGTTCTACATTTGAAGGAATGATTTCTGACATGGCAGTGGGGGAAAGAAATTAACCCTCTGCTCATCAGGAGTGACAAAACTGAGCTGTCATGAAGGCATCGGGCCCCAGCAGGCGTTGGGGGGGATGTCTGCATTTTGGGGTTGGCGCTGGAACCCTGGGCCACAGCGTAGTTGCCCCTAAGGACGATGAACTTCAGTGGCAAAGGAAGACATTCTGTGCATGAACGCACAAGAACCCATGAAGCTGCCTTACACGGAATCATACCATTGGTCTATCAAAGTCAGGCTTGTCTACTCAGACGGGCAGCAGCTCTCCTGGGTCTCGGCCAGAGAGGTCTTTCCCATCCCCTACTGCCTGGCCCTTTTTAATTGGAGATGTTGGGGATTGAACACTGGACCTTCTGCATGCCAAGTAGAGGCTCTACCACTGAGCCACAGTCCCTCTTTATAGATCTCCAGGGTCTCAGGTTGAGTTCTTTCACTCATGTACTGCCTGGTCCTTTTTAATTGGAGATGCTGGGGATTGAGCCTGGGTCCTTCTGCGTGCCAAGTAGATGCTCTGCCACTGAGCCACGGCCCTGAGCTATGCTCAGAAGCCCTTCAAGATGTTGCTTTGCCCACAGGGGAAAGTGGTGTGCTCGAGGGGCTTGCTTTAAAGGTGAGGTTAGCCTGCAATTCTTCTGCCGAAAGGCCTTGGTCCAGTGACTTGTTTCTGTCTCTTCCTCACTGGCAGGGTCCCAACCTGATAATAAAGCAGCCGGACGAGCTGCTGGACGGCATGTCAGACTGGTGCAAAGAACATCATGGGCAGGTAAAGGGGCTGTCGCTTCTTCTGGGGTTCTTCAGAGAAATGCTTGGTCTTTCGGCCTTTTTTAAGGCGGCGGGGTGAATGTTCATTAGAGCCCCCACTTTCTCCCTGAGCCAGTATTATTTCTTCCAAGATGGAAATGATAAAATAAATATGTTTTTAAAAAAATCTATATTTTTCGCCTCTGTTTAATGTAGTTCTGTATTAAAGATTTTACGTCTCAGCCGGGGAGGGGATTCGTTGGCGAAAGACAGGGCTCGGTCAGGAAACCCGGCCCTTCTGTTTTGAGTGGGTGTTTGGACATCTAGTCAGTGGGATCCTGTCATGAAAAATCAAGATGGGTATAAAGTTCATATGATGGAAAGACATGAAAAGAAACAGCTCAAATAGGTTCTCAAATAAGGGCCAGTTTCGTGTCGTGGTGAAGTGCGCGGACCCTAATCTGGGAGAGCCGGGTTTGATTCCCCACTCCTCCACTCGCACCTGGCTGGATGGCCTTGGGCAAGCCGTAGTCCTGTCAGAGGTGTTCTTGAAAAAGAGCAGTTTCTGTCAAGAGCTCTCTCAGCACCACCTACCCCACAGGGTGTCTGTTGTGGGGAGGGGAAGGGAAAGGAGTTTGTAAGCCACTCTGAGACTCCCTTGGGAAGTGAAGGGCGGGGTATAAATTCAGTCTCCTCCTCCTCCTCCTCCTGTTTAAAAAAATCAAGATGGGGAGCCATGTTTGTCTGTAGCAGCAGAAAAGAGCCAGGAGCACCTTAGACTAACAAGATTTGTGGCAGGGTTGGAACTTTCGTGAGTCATGGCTCACTTCTTCAGATAACTTCCTATTTGATGAAGTGAGCCGTGATTCACAAAAGCTCCACCCCTGCCACAAATTTTGTTACTTTTTAAGGTGCTCCTGGACCGTGGTTCTTTTCTACTATCAAGAAAAGTGCAACACTCAGGCCTTGGCCGTCAGCCCAAAGTTCTTAGTTAGTGCGTGGTGCCTTTTTAATGCCAGGAGCTCACAAAGTAGAATTTCTGCTCACAAGACTCCACGGCTTAGAGGGAGCCTTGGTTGCCTTCCTGTCAATTTCCCACCTTCCACTTGCCTCCCCAAACTATCCTCTGCAAAATGAAGCGTATTCCTTGATTGCGTTCATGGAAACGTGCCAGCGGCTTACGCAATTCCGTCTCGGTGGCTGAACGTTTTTGTTCACCTCACTTTTCAGTTTTCCAGCAGCAGAATTCAGGCATTTTGTTCAGCTCTTACCTTTAACGTGTTCTCTTGAAGAAACATCTGCCGGCCTCAGCTAGGGCTTGTGGGGAGGGGGAAGCAGACATGTTGTGTATGTAGGAGCCCGGAGTTTGCAGTCTTGAGGCACTGTGGGGGCCCCAAAGGGGCAGAGTTATGGGGTGTTGTTATGGTGGGGGCAAAACTTGTCTTTTCCACTGGGGTAGGGCTTGGAAATGCCCTGCCTCTCTGTCACAGTGTTAGGCCTTTTGCCAGTTGGGATGGGGCTGAGGATAGATCCGTCTCTCTCAATGGGGGTTATGTATTTGGGGGGCAGACAATACTCAGGGCCCCCTCATATCCACCACCAGGTACCCCTCACGCCTCCCTTTCCTTCTGTCCACCCACAGCCCTCCCTCGTCCCGATTTCTATATTCTTCTCCCCCTCACATACCCTCCTAATGTGTGTGCCCCTTTCTTGCCCCCTGTGGCCCTCAGAGAGCCAGTTTGGTGTAGTGGTTAAGTGCACGGACTCTAATCTGGGAGAGCCGTGTTTGATCTCCCACTCCTCCACTTGCAGCTGCTGGATGACCTTGGGCAAGCCATAGTTCTGTCACAACTGTCCTTGAAAAAGAACCGTTTCTGTCAGAGCTCTCTCAGCCCCACCTACTTCACAGGGTGTCTGTTGTGGGGAGGGGGAAGGGAAAGGGGTTTGTAATCCGCTCTGAGACACCTTTGGGTAGTGAAGGGCGGGGTATAAATCCAATCTCCTCTTCTTCTTCAGAGTGCCACAGCTGTGCACAACCCATGTGCACTTTCCTCTCCATGCCGGAAAGCTGGAAGTTTGGGTAGTGGAGCACTTGCTAGGAAATGGGCGGGGGCACACAGGCTGGTGGACCGCCTGATGGCACCTGGGTTTTGGCCACTGTGTGACAAAGAGTGTTCGACTGGATGGGCCATTGGCCTGATCCAACATGGGCTCCTCTTAGGTTCTTACATGGACAGGTGGCAGGAGAGGTACACGGGTGGGGTGGGGGGTCAGTGTGAAAATTTGGCCTTGCCGGAAGTCCTGGGCCCTGGCCGCTGCCCCGCCCTGGGGTATGCCGACACCATCCCTGCTCTGTTGGCCTACATATCTGTTCCGTTTTTAGCCAGCCCTTTTTCTGAGGGGGCAATTCTCTTCTTCCTGTAACCTTCTCTGGGGAGCTTCAGGGTTGCATGGGCTTCCCTTGTCTAGACAGGACACCCGGTTTTCTCCTTGGGAGGGCAAAGCCATTCACTGCATCCCCGCCATTTCCCTTAAACACTCTCAGGGAGCCAGGTAAGAAACAAAGACCTCCGCCCAAGCCCCGGCTGTAGGCAGCGAGAACACACAGACAGACACAGGAACATACACCTGAATCTGCCTTCTGCTGAATCAGACCCTTGGTCCACCCAGGTCAGTCTTTTTAAAAAATAATAATAATCGTTTTTTAAATTTTTTATCACAAATCATCATACAAAACGAACAAATCATCATTCCATACAAATTCAGGGTCTTCTGAATCTATGTAATAATAACCTGTTCAATTACTTCTTACAGTATCCAGTTGGTTATAAAATGTATGTACCATAAAGCAAAAAATCTTTTATCCATAAAGTCTGCATATATGTGTAGATAATATCTATTGGCTGTGGTCACACGGAGCATTTGCCACGCTACAGAGACGGATGATAGGCGGATTTTCCGGGTGCGATCACAGCGCCACATCTGGGAAGCGTAGAGCTCCCGTGGCTCACCCGAGGCTTCCCGCCGAAGATCCAGGGCAAAAAACTAGTACCTCCGAGGTACCATCCAGCCCCCTTGCTGATGTCAGTAATTGCACACCACTCATCTCGCCCCTGCCTTGAGCGTGTCTGTGTGGGGGTGGGGGTAAGCTCTTCCTCAGGCATGCTCCCTACTTGACCGCCCTGGTTTTAAAAAAAATAATTTCTCCCTCTGAGGCTCAAAGTAAAAAACCCCACAACAACCCCGTTTGCCGCGCCGCCCCGCTTCTTTGCCTGTCGTGGGATCGGTACCTCCCCCCTAGCCACGGGACCTCGACGGGACCTCAACCGGATGTCTGATCGCGCAGTCGCGCGTTAGTTTGCCCCGGGGCAAACAGCCACGCTTCCCCCCCGCATTTTCCAGCCCGTGTGACCGGGGCCCTAATACTATCTCCAATATATGTTATGGAGTTATATAGTCCATGTGTTGTCGTCTCCCAACCAAGTATAAAATCTCGACCATGTGTTGTGAAATTTTTCTTCTTGTCCTCTCAAAAATAAGGTTAATTTGTCCATCTCGGCTGTTTCCAAAACTTTACTTGCAATTTCTTCTTTTGAAGGTATTTAATCTTTTCTCCAATATTTGGCGTATAATATTCTCGCGGTGGTTAATACATGTAATACATGGGGGGGGGGATTCACCCAGGTCAGTCTTGTCTTCTCAGACCGGCAGCGGCTCTCCAGGGACTCAGTCAGAGGTCTGTAACATCTCCTCCTACCTGAGCCCTTTTAACTGGAGAGGCTGTCGGAGACTGAACATTCTGCATGCAAAGCCGAGGCTCTCCCTCCCTGTGCTGAACTCGATGGACCGACCAGCTTCCTGTTACGTTGAGATATATTGTCTAGGAACTTCCCCTTGGAGGTTGAGGAGTTCCCCTCCTCACTGACCCCTCCTTCCTCCTTTTCCTGTTTCCTGGAGCTGTTTTCCTGGCTAAGCTGAAGTCTGCGTTCCCGGGCGGCCGGGCCTCCATCCAGCCCCCTTGCTGATGTCAGTAATTGCACACCACTCATCTCGCCCCTGCCTTGAGCGTGTCTGTGTGGGGGTGGGGTAAGCTCTTCCTCAGGCACGCTGCCTACTTGACCACCCTGGTTTTTTAAAAAATCATTTCTCCCTCTGAGGCTCCTTTATAAGCATGGCAAAGTCGCCTCTCAAATAGCTCCCCCCCCAGAAGTCTGCCTCTCAGGTGACTCATAAGAACATAAGAAAAGCCAACGTTGGATGAGGCCAATGGCCCATCCAGTCCAACACTCTGTCACACAGTGGCCAAAAATACCAGGGGTCATCAGGAGGTCCAGCAGTGGATCCAGGACACTTTGTGGCTAATAGCCATCGATGGACCTCTGCTCCATATGTCCATCCAATCCCCTCTTAAGAACACAAGAGAAGCCAATGTTGGATCAGGCCAATGGCCCACCCAGTCCAACACTCCGTCACACAGTGGCCAGAAATACCAGGGGCCATCTGGAAGTCCAGCAGTGGGGCCGGGACACCAGAAGCCCTCCCACTGTTGCCCCCCCCCCAAGCACCAAGAAGACAGAGCATCCCTTGCCCCAGAGTCCCTATCTATACCTTCTGGCTAATAGCCATTGATGGACCTATGCTCCATATGCTTATCGGATGTTCGTTGACTGATATCCCCCTTGATTGGCATCTTCTTTTTAAATTGCTAGCAGCTTTTGGAAGCATGGCACTGCCCTAATGCTGGCTGATTCTTTCTTGCAGTCGGGCCTTACCAGGGCGGTGAAAGAAAGCACAGTATCTCTGCGCCAGGCCGAGTATGAATTCCTGTCTTTTGTCCGGCAGCAGACACCACCGGGACTCTGCCCTCTTGCAGGTAAGAGGCATTTGTTTTTAGATTTATTTGTAAGCTCATGTACCACACTTATACCCTTACCTGGATGGCCCAGGTTTGCCGGATCTCGTCTGATCTCAGAAGCTAAGCAGGGTCAGCCCTCACCAGTATTTGGATGGGAGACCTCCAGAGAAGGCCGGGGTCACTTTGCAGAGGAAGGTAATGGCAGACACCCCCCCCCCCCCCGTTCCTCTCTTGCCTCGAAAACCCCATGAGGGGGTTGCTATGAATCGGCTGCCAGTTGACAGCAAATTAGAAGATCCATGGCAGGTACATGACAGCGAAATGGATCAGACAAATAGAAATAAAAACGTGGTAGAAATGCTCTACAAATTGTTATATGACTAATAAAAGACCAAATCACTCATAGCCAAGGCTGCCCCTAAGCTGTGGAGTCCTGTGAGCAAAACTTCTATATTTGTGAGCTGCCGGCATTAAAATTGTGAGCGAGCCATTTGGCTGCTGCATAAATCAGTTTGCTCTGGAGCCATCCTTCCTGAGCTAAGGCAAAATGTCTGAGCCGGAGGCTAAAGAATTGTGAGCTAGCTCACACTCACTCAGCTGAGAGGGAACATTGCTCATAGCTAGTCTGAAAATTAACAGAATTATCCTGCCTTAAACAAATTACAGCGGGGTTGCATACAGAGCTGTCGCAAGGGCAAGGCGAGGGAGACACTGGCCTCAGGCGCGCATAAAGCTGAGTGGTGCACAAAGAGCATATCATGACTAAAATAAATGTGTTGTTATTTCTCTGGTTATTTATGGGTTTTTTTAACCAAAATAACTACTACGAAAAAGATGTTTTATATTCTTGCCTCGGGCACAAAATTAGCCGGTTATGGCTCTAGTTGCATATATACCTACACCAGGGGTCGTTTCGTAGAAAAAGAGCTAGGGGAACTCATTAGCATAACTCATTAGCATATGCCACACCCCCTGACATCACCGGAAGTGTGTCATAAGGCCACACACCCCGCCCCCAACGGTCCCGGCCGCCAGTGGCGGCCTTGCAGCTCCACTGCCGAGCCCCATGAGGGGCCCGGCGGTGGACCTGCAAGGCCGGCGGGAGGGCAAGGAAGCCCCGCGAAGGCCCTCCCTGGCCCCAGGCAGGCAGGGGTGGGGAGAGGCAGGGAGGAAGCAACTTACCCTCCCTCTTCTCCTGCCTCCTCCTGGCTGAATGAGGGCCGGAAGCAGGGGGCGGGGCTTCGTCATGTGCCCCGCCCCCCGTACCTCACCCGGGGGAACTGCGATCCCCCGCGATCCCCCCGAAATGACCTCTGACCTACACACACATTGGACATAGAAGGGGGGAAAACATCTAAGCAGTGGGGATCAAGGACAGTAAAATGCAGTAGGGTCCACTTTGGGACATTTCTTTCGCAGCGTTCAGGCATATGCAAGGTTGGCAAAGGAGATGCTCACAGCAGCAGTGAGAGGCGATAAATTAGCCGAGCAAGTTTAGCAAGGTTGTGTTCTGTTGTCCTTACCAGGGCCTCCTAAGATAGCATCAAGATTCCTGATAACTTACTTTCTTTTCTAAACTCATCTACTGGGTAGAGATTATGCTGTACTCAGGCAGATGGCTATCTGAAAGGGGTGAGGCGATTACTATGGATAAAGGAAGCTAGCTGAAAAATGGAGCAAGTGCACTTCTTCTTGTCCTCTGTGTTCCATACTGAGTAGTTCTGAGGGTCGTCTTTAAGAAGGGACCTTCCCTTTTAAAAAGAAACATATAGGAACCGAAAGGCGGATGTTCCAGTGAGGTTTTTGATCATGTTTTTTTCAGGAGAGCACCAGACGATGCTAGGCCCCAAATGAACCCTGTTGAGTTGAAACGTTTTATAGACCAGATGTTTTGTAGTGAAGTTTGATTGCAGTGTCCTTTTACCTTCCTTCCTTATGAATTTATGCAAGGTTGCCAAAACAAAAAAAGGAAAATTCAGTCTTGGGTTGTATTAAAAGGGCCATATCATCGAAATCATGGGAGGTCATAGCCCCTCTGCATACTGCCTTGGTCAGGCCGCACCTGGAGTCCTGTGTGCAGTTCTGGAGGCCTCCCTTCAAAAAGGATGTGGACAAAATTGAGAGGGTGCAGAAGAGAGTGACGAGGATGATCAGGGGTCTGGAGACTGAGCCCTACGAGGAAAGGCTGAGGACCTTGGGAATGTGTAGTCTGGAGAAGAGGAGATTGAGAGGGGACATGATTGCTCTTTAAATATTTGAAATGCTGTCATTTGTAGGAGGAGAAGGCGCTGTTCCAGTTGGCAGCGGAGGATAGGACCCAAAGGGGTTTAAATTACATGCAGAATGGTATCGGCTGGATATTAGAAAACACTTTTTCAAGGTCAGAGTGGTTCAGAGGTGGAATCAGCTGCCCAGGGAGGTGGTGAGCTCCCCTTCGCTGGCAGCTTTCAAGAAGAGGCTGGACGAATATTTGTCAGCAGGGGTCATTTCGTAGAAAAAGAGGTGCAGGAGCTCATTAGCATAACTCATTAGCATAACTTGTTTGAATATGCCACACCCCCTGACATCACCAGAAGTGTGTCAGAAGGCAACACCCACCGCTCAGGCTCCATTGGACTGTTTTGGATTGCTAGCTATGGGGGTGGGGGGGACGTGCAGATTTGCCCTCGCAGAGGAGGGAGAGCTTGTACCTGAATAAAACTTGGTCTTAAAGGTACCGCTGGACTGTTTTGGACCGGGGGGCCAGGGGGAGCTCTGCGGCTTTCCTGGCTGCTTCTTGCTCTGACTGAGGGCTGCTGGGAGCAGGGGGTGGAGCTTGTTGCTCTCTACTGCCGGAGCTCCGCTCCTGTGCGCTCCTGCAGGAAATGACCCATGTTTGTCAGAGATGCTTTAGGCTGGCCCTGCATTGGGCAGGGGGTTGGACCAGATGGTCTGTATGGCCCCTTCCAACTCTATGATTCTCTGGGTTTCTTGTTTGTTTATTTGGTGCATTTCCAACCCACCCTTCCTCCAAAGTGTTCAGGGACACGTATGCTGTTCTTCCGTCTTCCCTTTTATCCTCACAGTAACTCTCTGATATAGATCCAGTCTGGGAAAGAATGAGTGGCCAAGGTCACCCTTGGAAGTCTCGTGGCCAATTGGAACCCGAGTCTCTCCAGCCCCTGTCGAGCGCCCACGCACCCCGCCATGCTGGCTGGCCATGTTTAGGCCCTGTGTATAGTCAGCCTGTGAGCATTTCCTGCCCTATAGATGAGAATATTATTTGTTTGTTTGCTTGTTTAAAGCATTTATTGCCCACCTTTATCCCTTGCAAGAACTCAAGGAGGCTTACGATAATAACAACTATTTAAAAAAACCCATGACAAACAATATAAATAAAATGATTATAAAAACACATTAGAAAGTCACAATTTAGATGGAATGCGTTGAAAGCAACAATCAAAGGTGCCATGCTCCCTGTTATAATGCTGATTTTTACCTAAATGCTGCTGTCTTTGAAGTCAGTTTGAATTTTAATTTCTCAGGGGAGCGCAGTTCGCTTGAACAAAGATTCTCAGATTCAGCAGTCGGCTCCTAAATATCACTCCGGAAAAATGGCCCATCTCAGAGTATGTTTCTGGTTGACAATATTTTTTAACTTCACCAGAGAGGACTGATGCCCATTAAACGGTTTCCTAAATGGCTACCTATGGGTGACGCTCAACACATGAGACACCCCCCTTGCGTATTCAAAGCAGCCCCACACGTGTCCAGGTAAAAGTAAAGTAGGGGCCAGTGCCTGTGTATACTGAGGTTCAGAATTTGGTAGTAGCACTTCACTATGGGAAGAGGGAGGTTGCCATAAATAACACAGGCAGAAAACCGGGTGGGTGGGTGACCTCAGAACCAGATACTGCACCGTAGCTGTCAGGCACTTAAGTACTTCTTGTATAGAACTGGCAGGATTTGTCAGGATTAGGGTGATATCATCTGCATACAAAGATATTCTTAAGCAGTTAACAGAAGTTTTCCCCATTTGATTTCATCAAGAGTGCTAAAGAATCAATAAAGACAGAGAAGAGCAAAGCAGATGGGATATCTTTGCCTTGCTCCGCAACACATGTCAGAAAGCCTATAATCGTAGGGTAATGCTAAGGTTACAGCATACTGCTGACATGGACACGCGCAGTAATATAAATTTATTTGGGAAATGTGTGTGCCGTCTCTCCAGAGAGCTCCTCGAAGTGGCTCCCGAGTTAAAACCGTGGGGGTGACAGCATAGAGATTATCAGTAAAAACCATTAAAAATACATTCAGCGTTCCAAATTTACGTTAATTAAACAGTCCTCAGGCTAGGAGCAAAATATAAAACATGTTTAAAATATTAGGAAAAATGACTAATCAAATAATGGATTGGTCATTTCTCCCCTAATATTATCAGCTGCAGTGGCTCAAGTGGTTAAGACGCTGAACTGCAGGCTGTGGAAGGTCAGTAGTTCAGCAGTTCGAGACCCGGGTGCCGCATGATGGAATGAGCTCCCATCTCTAGGTCCAGCTCCTGCCAGCCTAGCAGTTCGAAAGCAAGAAATAGCAAGTAGATAAATAGGTACCACTTCGGTGGGAAGGTAACAGCGTTCCGTGTGCCTTGGTGTTTAGTCATGCCGGCCACATGACCACGGAAACGTCTTCGGACAGCGCTGGCTCTTCGGCTTTGAAACGGAGATGAGCACTGCTCATAAAATAACACCACCACCACCCGGTTTATTTACATGCAAGCAGTTTGTCGGTCTTGTTACTTTTCTCCGAATAGCCTTTTTCATGATCTACCTTGAGAACAACTACTCGGATGAAGCAAAATCGCTTCATCTGGATTTGTTTTAAAAAATCATCTTGATGCCATTGCGTGTTCTGAAATAACTTAATATCAGGCACTATATATATCTAGAGTGAGAAGACACATTGGTAAATAAGTCACAAATACAAGCTTTGCAGGCCCGTAGCCAGGATTTTTTCATTCCGGGGGCCCTTTAAATAAGTTGGGAGGCACCCCGCACAGACACCCCCACACCCCCCCAAGGGAGCATCACAAATAAAATAAACAATGGAAAGCCGGGGGGGGGGGGCTGGATGGGAAGTCAGGGAGGCTTGGCAGTAAGTTGGGGGGCCGGGCCCCGATATGCCCCACTGTAGCTACAGGCCTGAAGCTTTGGCTTTGTCCCACGGTATTGGCCAGGAAATGGAGCACGTGTTATGGATCTCCGTGTGTGTGTGTATTCTCTTTATTAGATTTTCCATAACAGACAAACAAACAAACAGGAAAAAAACAAGGACATTAAACAGTAGTTTTCGGAGAAAAAGAGAGATACAGATCACATATTTGTTCTCATTTTAACAATGCTTTCAACGATACTCTAGCGGTTCTAGCAGTTTATAGCATCCAACATAACCATTGACCCCGATATAAAGTTCTTTGGATTTCCATTTCTACCTGGTGATATTTCTTGGCAAAATACCTTCGGCACTCATTCTCATCCATTAGATATACAGGTCACTAATCTAAACTGAGGCCCACATTTCTATTTCTATTCTTTAGGTTTAAATACCAACCATTACGCATCAGTTTCATGCTTCGTGAAGTTCTGTGGCTGAAGGAAGATGCGTTCATGTTCTGCACTTTTGCCCTGGGGATGAACTCTAGTCCAGTAGTTGCATGCTGGAATTCTAGATATGGTTTTGCATAACAGTAATCCCTTTCCCTCGACCAGTCAAGTAACGTTGTACACTTCGTATTTGCAAGGAAAGGAACAGCCCCTCTGCCGTTGATCAAAAGGACCGGGGTGACCCTGTTGGTTCCTGGACTGATTAGTGACAAGGCAGGACACTTTGGATTTGCGATGTGATCAGCGGAGCTCTTGCTGAGCCTGTTAGGGGCGTGGCGTGGACCTATCAGTTGCAGCTTTCAGGGGTTTACATGGGTCTGACGCTGCATTCCAATTGGCAGGCAAAGCGGCTTGCTCTGCTGGCCTTCTGATGTCTTCCATCTTGCTTGGCGGTGGCTTGGCAGTGATGCAGCCTCCCACTCACCTCTGTTCTTCTCCAAGCTTCGTTGACTTCAGTTGGACTAATGCCCAGGGCTGACCCCTCTCTCCTTCCCCGAAATTGAAAAGCCGCTTTCCTCCCTGAATCTCTTGGGTCCTGCTAGACTGTTCTGAGCATTCCTTACTGAGTTTGGAGTGTGCCTCTTACTCGATGCCAGGAACATTCCTTGTTCGCAGACAGCTATCGCAGTCTTCTCATCTGGAATTCTCCTTGCTCTTCCCTGGAGCGAAACACCCGCGTAGTGCTGCCCGTTAGACCAGGTTGTCCATCACGAGACTGTCGATTCCTTTAAGGCTATGACCCTTGTGCACACACTCTAATCTGGGAGAACTGGATTTGATTCCCTACTTCTCCACTTGCAGCTGCTGGATGACCTTGGGCAAGCCATAGTTCTGACAAGAGCTGTCCGTGAACAAGGGCAGTTTCTGTCAGAGCTCTCTCAGCCCCACCTACCTCACAGTGTGGGGAGGGGAAGGGCAAGGAGTTTGTAAGCTGCCCTGAGACTCAAAGTGAAGGGCAGGGTATAAATCCAATCTCCTCCTCTTCTTCCTCTTCCTCCTCCTCCTCCTCCTCTCCTGCGTTGTCAGCTCATCTGGCCGAGCTTTTTAGTGATGCAGAGGGCTTCCTCCCTGAGCCTGGTGTGGAGGTCTCCAAGCATCTTTAGCAGGCCTACCTCTGGTCTTCCGACACAGGCCTTGGCTAGGGAATGACTCTCATAGTCTAGGCAGCAGGAGGGGGTGCTGTCCCTGACCCCCACCCACTTTGCTTCTTGCTTAGGGGGAGTGCAGGTCTGTGTGTGGACCTTTTGCCTGGAGGGTTCCCCCTATTGGTCAGTCAGCCAGTTGCTGCTTCGGCCGGGTTCCCAGCACTTTGGAGTGGGGAACGGAAAAAAGGCCAAGGGATCGAGCGTGACGTCTGTGGGATGGTTTGGCTGCTGTCTCCAGACACAGCTGCGGCTCTGAGAGAGGCAGCAGCCGGGCCGAGTCTGCCGTTCACCGGGCTGCCAGCCGGGAGAATCAGCCCTTCAGTAGCTACCAGCCGGAGGTGGACAGTTTGGAGAGCTCAGCTTCTGACTCTGCGCCCAGCAGTGCCACAGAGAGGTCGTCTGGGGCAAAACGTAGCCTGGAGGCCCTCCTTCTACATCTTCCCCCAAATGCATCCGGGAGATATCATACTACATTTAAGAGTGTGGAATACTGATATAATAAATGCCTGATATTGTTGATAAATTCATTAAGAGCCACAAATGCTGGTTCATTAGGTAGATAAGTAGACAGATAGACAGGTAGAAAGACAGGTAGATAAGTAGGTAGATAGATTAGGTAGATAGGTAGGTAGATAGATAGGTAGATAGATGATAGATATAGATAGACAGACAGACAGACAGACAGACAGATGGAGTGGCATGGCTGTTTTGTCTACTAATCTTAGGCAATGCATTGGGGGCCCTCAGCCTTGCAGGGCATTTGACCACCACCCCTGGTGCCCCTGCTGTTCAGGCCTGCCAGGGGAACATCTGTTTAGCACTGTGAGTTCCAAGGCTTTGTAGTACCAACTGCCAAAAGCAAGCGCCACAGTGCAGTTGGTGAAACCCCAGGCCCTCTAGCACATGTATCGCTCTCTCTCTCAACTTGAGAGTCTTTCACCCCACTGAAGTGTTTGGTTCTTTATAGGAACTCCTATTCAGGATTTGCAGAATCTCAGCACTCAGGTTTTCCTGCTTTAGGGGGTTTAATTTGGGTCAGGGCTCCACAGAGAGATTAAAAAAAACAACAGTACGCAAAGTCCAGGAGTTCACGTGTGGGAGGGCAATGTTGCCCCATGACAGGGGTCAAAGTGGCACCCTCTACTGCCCGCCCTCCAGTCCTACTTCGCGTGTTCAGAAGTGGTGTGTCTGCTTGTGTTTTAGGAAACTCGGTTCATGCGGACAAGAAGTTTCTTGACAAACACATGCCGCAGTTCATGAAGCATCTTCACTACCGCATCATCGATGTGAGCACCGTCAAAGAGCTATGCAGGTGAGTGATAGCTAGGGAGTGGGGAGGCAAGGACGTGGTGTGTGTGTGTGTGTGGAGCTGTCTCGGCAGCACAAGGACATCACTTACAGGGAATAACTGGTAGCAGGAACAGTCACTCTAGGGATGGCTGCCTACTTTATCATAGAGTTTTCAGAGATTCCTAGAGTGACTGCTGTCAATTCCAGATAGTCCCAGGAGTGACGTCATCATGCAGGTGATGTCAGTGAGTTTTTAAAATATTTGTATTTTAATTTCCTCCCTGCCACCGCTTGGAGCATTAGAATGTTGAGTGTGTGTTGTGGGTGTGGAAGGGGGAAAGGGGTTGGGGGGGTAGAGAGAAGCCGAATACGCTTGATGAATTGGAATGGCTGGCAAGCCTGTCCGAGAGTGCTGGCCAATGGAGCGTCAGGTGGTCTTGCGGGCGTTTTGTGGGATATGCTCCCAGAACTTCTGTGGTCAGAACTGGAGACTTCCTTCAATAGATTTAGATTCTGCCATCACAAATGATGCTTATCGAGACCAATTTGGTGTAGTGGTTAAGCGTGTGGACTCTAATCTGGGAGAACCAGGTTTGATTCCCTACTCCTCCACTTGCAGTTGCTGGATAACCTTGGGCAAGCCATAGTTCTGTCAGAGCTGTTCTCTCAAGGACAGTTCTGGGAAGCGCTCTCTCAGCCCCACCTACCTCACAGGTGTCTGTTGTGGGGAAGGGAAGGGAAAGGAGTTTGTAAGCCGCTCTGAGACTCCCAAGTGAAGGGTGGGGTAGAAATCCAATCATCTCCTCCTCCTCCTCTTCCTCGTCTTCCTCTTCTCCTCACCATACACTTGTTTATATTTGCATAATTTGTTCTGCAGTTCACGTTCTGCAATACAGTAAATAAATCACTGCAGGTTCTGCAAAGGCTGGAACCGTGTTTTATTTGTTTTCATATGAAAATCGACGACTTCGGGGTGCCAAGCTTTTTAGCAGGGGATTGCAGGGCTTCTGTGGGAGGGGAGAGGCACATTCGCAATACAGTGGTACCGTCTTCAAACCCCCTGGGGATTGCAGGGCTTCTGTGGGAGGGGACAGGCACATTTGCAATACAGTGGTGCCGTCTCCCCCCCCAGTCCCTTGCGCTTGGCACCTAATTTGAGTGCAGATAATTGAGAAGAACTGACCAGCTCTGGAATTCTCTCTGTGCGTGTTTGTGCAGACGCTGGTTCCCAGAGGATTACAAGTTTGCTCCAAAGAAGGCTGCTTCTCACAGGTAAGGTTTTCTCTGGGACGAATAGCATCCACATGCAGAGCCTAAAACCCACCTCACAAGGTTGTTGTGAGGATCAAACAGAGGAGAGGAGAACAATGTAAGCTGCTTTGGGCCCCCCTCAGGTAGAAAAGTGGGCTATAAATGGAGTAAATAGGTTAATTGATGGGTGCAGGGTGCCTTTCATAAGGCTAGGCCACATCTCTGTTTACAAAGGAATGACATTTGTAAAGGTGCCCAAACAATTCCTTTGTGGAGCATGTGTCTTTGGAAAGAATCAGTTTCATACATAAGGAAACCCCAGTGGTGGGGGCACTGGCGTTCCTCCTTTTTGACAAAGGCACCACCGTGTGGTGACATGGGAATAACTGCAGGGAATTAGTCCATTGAGAGACGGAAGTGTCTTTTTATCAGCTGGAGCCACTTCGTCGCCAGACTCGCTTTTAGAAAACTTCCTCTCTATGAAGAAAAGGGGAGGGTTTTGTTATGGCTCTGGGGGGTCGTGTTTTTCCGCTGAGATTTTATTGCGGAAACACATCGTTTTGCTTCCGTCTCTGGGTTTTGACTTGCACAAGAATGACCTTTCCCGGCAGAGAGAAACGCGTCTTTTTCTGCCTTCCGCTGCATGCGCCAGGGCACCCCTCCGCTCTGGAGGCTCAACTGGAATTCCAGGGCGGCCGCCTGCTCTGCCGGCCGAAAGTCCCGGTCCAGTCCACGGCCTCTGCGCTTAAAGGTGTTGGGGAGAGATTTCCCTGCCGATCCCTGCAGAGAGTGCGGTCAGTCAGAGCGGACGATGCGCGCTTGATGCCCCAGAGGTCTGGTCCTGCCAGAAGCCGCCTGCAGTTATCACGAGGCCGGTTTGAACGCATGCATATTGCACCGCGGCGTTCTCCCCCCCCCCCCCCCCTGCATTCACTTATTAAACTATTTATACCCCATCTTTACCTTGTGGCTTACAATTCTAAATTAAAAGCTTCTGTAATCCAGTCCAACCCAATTTAACTCCCTCCCCACCCCCAAGAAACCCTGGGAGATCTCAAGGCCAGCATAATCACCTTAGCACCAGGTGACTCACCTGCTGGCTCTCCCCACCCTCATCGGGAAAGGACGTAGAGCGGCCAGCCTGCAGGTATTCGGGTCCAAATTGTGCCAAGACGCACCTTTGAGATACCATATTTAGCCTGTGCGTGAGTGAAGAGTGAATGAAGTGCGCACGCGCGCAGACACACAGACACCTATGCATACAACCAGTGTTCCCTCTAAGCTGTGGGATCCTGTGAGCAAAAATTGTACTTTGTGAGTTGCTGGCATTAACGTTGTGAGCGAGCGGTTTGGCTACTGCATCAATTAGCTTCCTCTGGAGCCACCCTTCCTGAGCCAAGACAAAAAATTATTTATTTTTTGCATTTATATCCCGCCCACCCCATAAACGGGCTCAGGGCGGGTCACGGCATTCCGATAAACACAACAAAATTTAAAACACATTAAAACATATAAAAACAATAGTCATGTTTGCCATAGGGAGAATCCGGCCCACTGATGTAACTAAGTATGGCCGGTTATCAGTAGGTGGGGAGCAATGCTCCCTCTAAGCTCTTCTTCACCCAAGGAAGTACTTCTTCATCCAAAGAGTGATTAACACTTGGAATTCACTGCCACAGGAAGTGGTGGTGGCTACAAGCATGGAGGGCTTCAAAAGGGAATTAGATAAGCATATGGAGCAGAGGTCCATCCGTGGC